ATAGATATATATAATTATATATATATATATATATATATATCTCTATATATATATATATATATATATATATATATATATATATATATATATATATATATATATATATATATATATATATATATATATATATATATATATATATATATATATATATATATATATATATATATATATATATATATATATATATATTGAAAGGAGACCAGATTTTATACTACTGAATTCTACCGAATTGTTGACATTAATCAATTTAAAGTTTGTCATTTCAATTTTCCCTACTAGAATTTTCTGGAAATTGTTCAATTTGTTGATAATAAAATTAAAACTTTAAATTGATTAATAAAAGTGTTTATATTGGACAAAGTTGAAGATTGTAAAACCAATTAAATGAGCGTTAAGTATTCACTTTGAACAAATAAGGAATCAACAAAGTAAAGTAAGGACACAGTATATATATTTGAGCATCTGGCCACATACACAACATACCAATTCGAGCACCAAGATGGTATAAGGATACCGAAAAAAGCTTTTTTGTTCTATCATGCATGAAATAAACAAAAATTATGGTTTTGAACTCAAGAAACTAGATAATGATTTACGATTAACCGTTAGAAAAATCGAAAAGTTAAACAGGAAGTTAACTAACGCTGAACATGCTGTGATTTTCATCAATAATTGCATTTCTAACAGTCTTAATCCAATATATATATTTATATACATATATATACATAGTAATTTTTTATTTTTTTTTATTTCCTCTGTCGGTTGTCTCCAGCCTTAAGAGGCCAAAATGACTTGTCGTCATCCGTTTCTGTCTTTCGCAATCTCTTCTAGTGTTACTTTTGTCCTTCCAGTAGTTCTCTCGTGTAATGGTAGCTCAGCTCTTTCCAAATCTAGATTAAAACACCGTTCTGCTTCGTTTTAGGTCTGCCTTTTAATCTTTTCCCCTCTGGTTGATATCTTCAGATTTTCTTAGATGTTCTGAAATCCTTCATCCTCATCATAATAAAAAATGAAATAGAATAAAAAAATTATGTGCCCTGCCCACTTCAATCTCCTCTTCTTAATAACTAACATTCATTTGTCCTGATTTCCTCATTTATGACATGATCCTTGTAGCAATTCACATAATTTTTCTGATTCACATGTTCTCGTAGGCACCCAAATTTTGTCCATAGCTCTCGTTAATACCCGCGACTCAGTCCCATATATCAAAACCGGGATAACCAAAGCATTGTAGGTTCTTAGTTTGACTTTTAGCCCAACGTCATGTCTTTTGAAACTTTGATGTATAGTTTTTGAAATACTCCTCCTGCTAGCGCTTTTTTTCTCTTCAATTCCTCCTCTATTCAACCTACCTTGTTAATATGACTTCTTATATAGATACATTCTGATACTGTTTCTATTTTTTCTCCATTCACTTTCACCTGTGGCCATGGTCCGTATGTCTTTGTGATTGGCATTACTTTTGTTTTCTTGATGTTTATATTCAGACCTATCCTGTTATAAAACGTCGGTTAACTCCATTATCCCCAGAAGACATTCGCGTATTCTGCATCCTGCATATCTATCGGGGCCACACTTTTTTGAAGATCCTCAAGCTTTTCCAGTCTTTTCAGTAAGTAGTCCAGAATAATAATGAATAAGATCGGTGATAGAATGCAAGATCGGTGATAAAATTTTTCAGAATAATGTTGAATAAGATCGGTGATAAAATGCAACCTTGTCTAAAACCAGTTTCTTTATGAAACCATTCAAATTCTCCCCTTTCATTCTTATTTGCCAAAACCGTACCATATAGATTTTAGATCAATCGCACCACCTTTGAATATAGCCCATATTTCTTGAAGATTTCTCATGCTCCTTCTCTCCAGATAGAATAATACGCTTAGGCAAAATCTATGAAGCATGTGTAAACTTCTTCATTGAACTCTATCTTTTTCTCTATCATTTGTCTTAGCACAAAAATCTGATCAGAATATTCTCTACCTTTCAGAAATCCGCTTTGGTTTTCTCTGAGAAGACCTTCTATGGTGTCACCAATACGATTTAAAATTATTCTCGTGAACACCTTACCCGGTAAACTGAGCAGGCTTATTCCTCTTGAGTTGTTGCATATTTTTCTATTCCCTTTCTTGTGGATAGGAATTATTGTTGCTTTCTTCCAGTCCTTTAGAATAATCTTTTCTCTCCATACCGCGTCTATTAACCTGTGAAGCCATTTAATTGTGTCTGTTTTTGTGTTTTGTAGCAATTCTGCGGCTATCTTGCAAATTTCTGGTGCTTTGTTCCTCTTCATCTGATTAATTGGCGTTTTACCTCCCTTAAGTCGATTTTATCTGCCATCTCCTTCTCTATCTCAGTCATAGGTAAACTAGTTGATTCTATTTCCGTGTGTTTTTAATTTGTTCATAGATTCAGGTCTGTTAAGCAACTCACTGAAATGTACTTTTCAACGTTTATCACCTTCTCCTTTGCCTCTTAAATAGAGCGATAAGTGCTTCCACTGAACCTGAAGTTTGAACTCATTGACTTGGATAAGTCAGGGAGTGGTAGTCGGATAACAAACTCTTTGACTCCCACTACTTGATTTGAAATTTTTTGACACCTCTTTCTTACCACCATTGTCTATAAGAGGTTCAATCATGATCATTTTACTACTTTGACTTCTTTATGTTGTCGATATCATCTTTCACTAAGTAGTGGTATTCAAGTAAAGTTGTAAAGAAAATATTGAAAAATTTTTCTGGGAGACGGCATTAATAGTAGACAATTTTATGTATAAATATCCGGATCAAAGTTCAAAATAGGGAGTCGAAA